AGCCACAAGTTCATTTTCCAACCCCCCATTCCCCTCCCTCTCCTGCCCTGGATGAAGCAGCATTTTGCCTTCTGTGATGCTACCATATCTATAGGATTTTCTGAGACCTATGAAAGAGACTCTAGAGCTATGTTTATCGGTTTTCTTTGGAAGCTACTGACCATCAGTGTGAAACTCAGAACTGGAGAATCTTGCCCTTTGGCCCTTCAGTCCAGGGGCTTAGGCCTCCTCTGTCGATGGCCTCTGTCTTTGGGGAGATGGGTTCTCAAACTGAGGAGCCACAGCCCCAACAAAAGTATTCGGGTAAGACCCAGAGTGCGGATACGAATGAAAATAGAGAACACGGACTTTCCAGTTCAAATTCTGAGGACGCTGAAAATGTTTTAGTTCTCCATCATTTTAAAGATGAAGCCAGGGCAGCCGGGAAGGGAGGTGACCGTCCAGTCACACGGTGACTTAGTGGCATAGCCTGATCAGTACCCCGTTCTCTGGACTCGGTTGAAGAGTGGCCCCTGGGGATCAAAGCTGATCACATCTTAATCATAGAAACATCTCACTTATTCTTTTGCCTTTATAGATGGCTAATGGTAGGGTCCCCTGTGGTTTGATTTACAGGTTGTGGTTTCCCCCTGCTGCCCCTGGCTGGACAGATTTGGCATCTGCGGTCTGGTCTCTAAGGTGGGAAGCGGACAGGGCCCTCTCCATCAGATGTAAAAGCTGGAGGTGTACTTATTCATGAACGTAACACCGTTGCTTCCATCTCTAAGCCTTAGCTGGCACGTTGCTTTGAGACTCTTCGCCAAAATCAAAGCACCACTGTGGTTCACTTTGCAAGTATCTTGAAAAGGAAAATCTTTGAGCACCCCTCTCCTGGCCCTGCCTCCATGTGCTGTGTGTAATGATCCAGGGAGAATCAATTGGACACTGCATTTTACAGATAAGGATTGGGATTTTACTTCTGGGTAACCTGGTGACCCCAATCAATCTCTGTCTTACAAACCCTCTGAAGATTTGATGCTCCAGTCTGCAATTAAGTCCCAGCCTCCAAGAATGGCAACAGATGTTGCAATCCAAACACCTTTATTAACTATTTATCTTCAGATGTGTATCAAGGATCTCTTGGCCAACAGAAACGGTGGACGGCTCCTTAAATGGAAGAAAATCACACTCTTTCATCTTTAAGCTATTTTACTCTGTAATCCCTTTGTGAAGATAACACAGGATATGTTAAGAAGGTAGCCAACAACATTTGATTGCTTTAAAAATTTGCCTTTTCTAAATGTCGTTGTCACCAATCCAGTGAAAATATTGCCATTAAATCGTGTAGCCCAATTATACAAAGCATTAGGTGGCATTTAGGGCAAAGAGAAAACATACCTAAAGTGAAGATTTCAATATTTGGTTTCTCTTTTTCTCCTTACACCTTGCTGCTTATACAGGGTGGGGCAAAATTACGTCTACAGTGGTTCGTATTGGAAAATAATACAATAACTAATAAGTAATAATACAAGAATAAACTCTGTTTCATCTGCTTACAACTGTAGACCTACTTTGCCCCACCCTGTATTTCATTTGTCAGACTTTGGACCTGTTTGAACCGTGGCTCCAACACCATAGGAATTATCCTTGCCACCCACCTGCTTTACAAGAATGTCATGAGGATTATAAATGACAGCAGAGGACTTTCAACACTAGGACTGAGGTACAAGGCCAACATGTTTTAAGTAGTACTCTGCATCATCCTTTGTATTTCAATTTATCAAGGCTTTGCTCTGTAATCAACGTCTTGCCTAGAGTTTACTGAGGTTATTCCAGAGAGAGGAAAACATACTATCGTGGACTCAAGGAGGCTTCCTCTCTCTGGATTTAACTCTCTGGCTGCACTGGCTAGATCCCTCTCACACAGCAGGCAGAGTGGGCAGCCCCTCTCTTCAAGGGCAAGGCGAATCCACAGGGAGGCTAATGCTTAAGCTTCTCATCAGTACAGGCCCTTCCACGGTGTTCTCATTGCCATTTGTCTTTGTAAAATTTGCAGAAATCAGATATTTTAACCATCATTGGCTAAGAATGCAATTTCCATTCTAATTCCCGCACCCCCCCCCCCCCCATCATACCCCTAGGGCTGTTAAATGACATTAAAGTTGGTCCCAGAACATTGTGAACTCCAGCCAAGAGGACCTTGAGTTGGGGTTACCTTAATTTGGGCTTCACGGGATATATTTGTGTGATTTGCTGTCTCTCCTGTGTAATGAAGTTATTTCCAGACTTTCTGATGTAAGGGTGACTTTCAGGAATGCACCGCCACCTGCCAACTTACCTGCTATCATGACACAGAGCTGCAGACTGAAGGTCCCCATCAAGAGTTAAATTAAACACTGGAGGTCGCTGGGGAATGGAGGGGAAGCAAGGTTTGCCAGATCTGGAGCTAAAGGCCAGAATGCTTCTAATCACCACGGCTATACAGTTGTAAATGGCAGCTTCCATGTCAATGATGCCGGGTAAAAGCAAAGCCAGGACTATGCTTAATAAGGCATCACTTGTAATTATAAACACACCATATGGTTTTTCTTTTAAAATGAGGAAATCATGTCAGCAATGATATAGGTGAGAAACACAAAGGCTGAGCTCCCGGAGACAGTGCTGGGAAGTGACTGGTGTGGGGGCTTTGGGCTCTATGCCCTCAGACAAGTTATCACCTTCAGTCTCCACTGAAAATGGGGACGGTGCCCTCACCTACCTCAGAGAGGACAGCAATGAGACGACACTCCTGTGATACTTTGGAGGCACGTGGTAAAGGGTAGCTTCCACTGCCATGAATGCAATTTTATTAAACACTGAAAAGTTCCATGAGGCTGATATATAGGGCTGTGATGGGCAGAGACCAGGAAATCAGGCAGAAAAGGCTGATTGAGGCCTGGCAATGAGGAGCCTTAGATGCCAGGCTAAGGGACAAAGTGTCAGCACAGCTACCCAGAAAGCTTATTGGATATGAGGCTCCCCGAGCACGTACCCTGGGATGGGGTCCAGGAACTGGAGTTCAGCAAGAGTGATCTCCTTAGCTGGTGCTGCTTCAGAAACTTTTTCTTATTTTTTTAAACTGGGACTTGATTGACTCATTTGCAAAAGCCATAATAATTCTTCATGCTCCCAGTTCTCCTTTACGCCAAGTCAGCAAAGGCTAAGCCGGAGATGGGGCTGAGGGTGATGGTGGGAGAAAGCGCATGACCCAGGATTGAAGGAATGCTCTGGGGACCTCTGAGAAGCCAGCCTTTCCCAGGGGAGGCAAAGCAGTGGCCAAGTTTGCATTCTCAACTTGCCTCCTCTTATACCCATAAGTCACTGTGGGCCCTTGGGTGATTCTTGCCTCCTCTCTGAGCTGCAACTTCCTCCTCTGTTAAAAAAAAAAAAAAAAAAGTCTAGAGAGCCGAGTTGGGTAAACTCTAAAGTCCCTTCCAGCTCCAAGTTTATCTGTTTATCAAACAGCCTAATCTTTGCAAAAGCACTTGCAAAGGCTACAGCCTGGAGACAGTCTTTGCAAACTTTGCTGCCAGACTCAAGGCTTTGGGGTTATGCAAAGGGCACCAAATACCCCTGCCATCAAGATAAGAGCCTTTCTCCCTGGCGGTTCACGTGCACCTCTGCAGGCTGGATCCTTGTCTGATTTAACCCTTATCTCGCTGCAGCATTTGGTGGGGTGGACATGGAAGCAGCTAGACGCTGTCAGTCACCCGGCCGACTTCCTGGACCCTTATGTGACGGAAGGAAATAAATTGGGTTTTGTGCCCTCCGATTGGAAGCCTGAGATTCTGTGGTGTGAAAGCAAAGAGATTAAGTGCCTTTGATTTTGGATAAACCACTGACGCACTCCTGGCCTCGGTTTCTTCATCTCAAAGATTTTTGGTTCCCTGGAGGATATTTTTCATCTTTATTGCTATCAAAATCTGTCTTTAGGTTTGATAATTCGACATTCTGATGGCATAACTTTGACTAAATCCTGTTCATTCCCTCACCATATTGTAGAATGGCCTGACTTTTTAGAATTAGATTAAAAGATAATAGCTCATCCTAAACAAAAAGCTGCCTTTCTACTCACCTTATCTCTATTAAAGACATCTTCACATTCTGAGGCAAATAGTGGTAATAGTGACCTCACGAAGGGCCTCTCTCCTAGTGGTTCACAAACATCTCAGCACACACAGTCCAAGCTCCCTGGCTTGTCTGATCTAACCTTCACCACCTCATTAAATTCTAAATGTTGTGTGCTAATGTAATTTCCATCTAAAGATTCCCAATGATCTACTGATATGTTTTCTAAAGAAAGACAGGGGAAATGATAAGTCTGTAATCACCTGCTAATTTACTTTCTCATTTCCAGATACAAGGGGAAAATCATTTGTGATGTGAAAATGTAAAATCTCGGGGGGAGGGGGGGAGGCGGGGGAAGGGGAGTGTGTGGTCAGTAGCTCATGACATCGTGAATGACTAACCAAGGAAAGCTAAAGGATAACATTTTTATGAAAAAGGCTGAAGGAGGTATGCTGGGTAGGAATTAGTTCTTGAACTCAGATCACTCCTGCCCAGCTGGTCTCCTGCCTCCTGCAGAGCTGGCTCAGACACCAGGATGCCTTACACTCTTGTTTCCCTGGGAGGCCTCCTGTGGAGCCTCCTTCCCCCATGACCTGAGGAAAGCATTGGTCTTCCCACAGAACAGCCAGATTTACCTTCCTTCTCCATAGCTACTTGCTCTCTGGGCTTCTGAGCCTGTGGTCTGGGCTGGGGGCTTTTGGGAGGCACTCCCACCCAACCCCGGGGCCCCACTACTATGAAGCAGAGTCTCAGAGGGCATGGGGATCTGCTATGAGTCAGGTCCTGAACACACCTTCCAGTTCTTCCGCTTATGACGCACTGTGTCCTCAACAGACTCACCCTCCACATGCCAGTCCAAGGGAGGCTCCCTGAAATCCCCCTCCACTGCTGAGGCCCACAGAGGTGGGGCGGGAGGCTGCCTGCCAGAAGTGGCTGAGAAGCTGGGAAGCTGAGAGGCTGGGCAACTTGAAGTAGTCTCATCCAAGTATCAACGTGCAGTTTCTGTTTGACTGCAGTAAAGATCTTGTGACAAATATTTATTGAGGCCTCCTTAAGTATGCTCCACAGCATAAAGAGAAGAAAGAAATGTGGTTTGTCCCAGGGCAGTCGAGGGCTACTGTGGTAGACACACAGGCCGACAGCCATGGGTGCCTTCTCTGCCGCGAGCCTGGAGGCTTGCTTACCAGTGGCCCAAGACTCCCAAGACAAGGTAGTGGGGAGGGGGACAGGGAGGCAGAGGCCAGCCTGAGGATACTGTAAAGCAGGGGGCTACTGCTGCCCTGCCCACAGACCAGCTCCTCCAGGGCATAGGACTCTCAGGGGAGTCTGTCCTCTGGGCCCAGGCCTTTGCTTCCAGCTTCCACCATGGACCTTCACACAGCAACAAGTAAGCACCGGCTTGCCCTTGTTGCTGGCCTCATTTCTCTTAAACCAGACCAAAGTCTGGTTCTTCTTGACTGCCTATTTCTTCTGCTTTGCATATCCCCTGATGATCTCTGTGTTGTTTTTTTGTGTGTGTTTTTTTGGCTCAATATCTCCTATTCTCTAGGCACTAAACCCCACCACTTGCTCCACTTAAAGATTCCCAATGAACTACTGATATGTTTTCTAGAACCAACCCCTAGGCCCTAGGCCTCCCTCCCAGGAACCCTGTTGCCCTCTTCTTTAGGCCACATTGGGCTGTCGGTAGCCCAGCAAACTATCTTCTCCAGAAGCCCACCTTTACACTGGCCAGCTGTTGCTTCTTCAGGCCTGACCAGCCCCTGCCTGGGGATGTTCTGGCCATGGCCACAAAGTTTCAGGAGATCCTCACGGCATCCTTTGATTATTGCAACATCCTCCTGACAGGTCTAGCCCTCTAGGCTCACCATCCTCCATTCCATCAACAAGGAAGAGGGTTGATGACGAGGACTGTTTAACCTGGAGGATGACCTTTTGTGGATAGAAGGTGACCAGAGGGCTGAAGTGCTTCTGTGAAGCTGAGGGGTTGCTCTTGTTCTCTAGGGCCCCAGTGAGTGTCGGGGAACTAGGGCTGAGGGATGGAAGCGCCAGGAGGCCGAGCCTGCCTCCATAGTGGGAAAACATCCTCACAGAGCTCTCCCCAAATGGGAGGTGTTGCCTTTCACCTCAGCAAGAATGTGCCTAACAGGCTCAGTGGACAGTCAGCCACTGGAGAGATTGGGAGAGTTTTAAAGGCCCTTTTTGACTCAGTTGCCTATTGCTACATAATAAACCATCCCACTTAGCCATTTAAGATAACAGGGATTCATTATTTCTCATGATTCTATGAGTTGGCTGACATCAGCTGGGCAGTGCTACTGATCTCCCCTGAGTCAGTCATGTGACTGAGGTCATTGGAAGCTCCACAGGAACTGGAGGATCTAAGATGCCTTACTGACCTCCAAGGGCTGTAGTGCTGGCTGGCAGCTGGGCCTCCTCTCTGTGTCATCTCTTACCATCCAGTCATCTAGCCCAGGTTTTCATACATGATGTGGGGAATGTTGCAAGAAAACAGAAGAAGCTGCAAGCCTGGGAAATAGAGCACATACTTTATCGCTTCTGCCACATTCTATTGGTCAAAACAAGGCCATCCCAGTTCAAGGAGATGAGAGAATAGATATCAAAATAGATATTTGATGGAAGAAGTTCAATGTATTTGTGATCATACTTAATCTGACACATTTCCAGAATTACCTCTGATTTTGGATATTCTGGTTTATCCCTTAAATTCCATTAGCCCATGGTAAGGTAATGTGGTACATCTCTATACCTGTGAAGAAGGACTCTCTTTGGACACTGGTTGACTACTAATATCCACCCCTGATTTTTTTTTTGGGGGGGGGGGGAGTGCCTACTCCATCTCTACACAGTCTCATGCTTTAGGGGAAACTGGCCTCACAGCTGCTTTGCTAGCAGGCTGATGAGCCTAATGGGTCACTAACTGGCCTGGGAATCCAGGTCTACACTAGTGAAGGCATTGTCCTGCCCACAGAGATTGGTCAGGAAAGGCATGTAATCTAATGCAGGCCAACAAGACATGAGGAGAAGTTTTCTAGAAACTTCTGGGAAAGATTTCCTCTTTATTAAGAAAGAACTACTGGAAAGGATAGTTTCTCTTCTTCCATTGTAGGCAGAAGTGAGGCCTGGCCACGGTCTAGTTACCAAACTAAGGATGTAACCGTCACAGAAAGGAGGCAAAGCCCAGAGAACTGCAGAGAAGGGGAGGGGGCATCCAGCTCGTCACATACCTGACCCCTGGCCTCTACCTCTGGGCTTGTTTCCGGTCTGCGAGCCAACAACTCCTCCTTACTGGGTAAGCCAGCTTGAGTGGGATTTTCCGTTTCTTGCAGTTGGATATATCATAACTGACCTAGGACCTGAAATTGTTACATGATAAATCTAGTCACTCTATACGTAGGTTACAAATCAGATATTATCTTTTAAAGAGATTAATAGCTAATGTATCTTTATTTTACTTTTCTAGAAAGCAACAAAACAGAAGATTCGTTATGTCAGAATAGAACTAGAAATACCCTTGGACATCATCCCTTCAGCCACCTCTCACAACAGATAGAGAAACTGAGGCCCAGATATTTTAGCAGAAACAGGACTCAGGTGTCCCGACTGCCTGGCCAACATGCTCACCACGACTCTCCACGTGCCCACCTGCCCTTCACAACAGTGCAGTCATTCACATGCCCAGAAGCACAGGGACCCCCATGCTATTTATACTTTGTCAACCTCTAACCAACTGCTATGGAAATCTGCTTGGCAGTTTCTTTAAAAATCAAACATGCCTCTACCTTAGGACCCACCAGTTTCATTCCTGGGCATTTACTCTAACGGAATGAAATCATGTCCACACAATGACTCCAGTAGGAATGTTCATAGCAATTTATATTCCTAATAGCTAAGAACTGGATACATCCCAGATGTCCAGTAACAGGCGAATGAATAAACAATACATTATGGTATCGTGGTATATCCATACAATGGAATACTACTCAGAAAGAAAAATAAAGGAGAATCTCAAAAGCATACTGAGTGAAGGAAGTGAGACACAAAAGAGGACCCCTAGTATGATTCTGTTTAGTATATAAAGTTCTACAACAGCAAATCTAATCTGTTGATGACAGAAATCAGATCAGCAGTTGCTTTGTGTTGTGTGTACTAGAGTATATGGAGGGGCATTGGCCAGGAAGGGGCATGAGAGAAATGTTGGGGTGATAGAAATGTTCTGTAACCTTGATGGGGGTTCAGGGCACATGGGTGTATTCATTTGTCAAGCGCTGTGTCTTGGAATCCAGAACTTGGGAGCATGGCTGTCTGTTCCCACTTGTGCTAATGGCTGGGGGTCAGCCAGCTTCCCATATTCTCTGCCAGTGCCTCGCTGCTGGGCCGGGCCCAACCACAGCTCCCGTAATAGCAGGTTGGGAGAGCCATTTCCTCTCGGCCCTGCAACCACATCACAGGGGCCGGCCATTCCTTCTGGCCGGCTTCCCTTGCCACTGGCTGCCTCATGGAACCCCCTTTCTTAACCCTCAGGTACCCTTCCGGAACCTTCCTGAGCCCAGGCTGCACTTGACATTACTCGAGCTCCATTGGGTAATTAACTCTGGTTTTCTGACATTCCAGGGCTGCTCAGAATTCTGAGCCATTGCAGCAATTCTTTCTTTAACTTTTTTTTTTTTAAACCACCATTTGTATTTTCTTCATATTTCCTGGCTAATTGTCAAATCAGGGTCTCTCCAGATACCAACATCTGGTACTAAATTGCAAGTCTGGATAATCTTCCAAAACGATGTTTTCTAAAAGCCAGCGAACTTCTTTTGCTCACATTATTCATCTGTTCAAAATATTCTCTCAGTGATTTCTCTACTGAAATATATCTTTCAACATGTCAAGCTCTATTCTATTTAAGATAGGCCTACCATTGGCATCGGGCCCTATGCTGCCTGGAGGACATGGGTCTATTGTTTTGTTGCTCTCTCTTACTTTTCTTTTTTGAAAAATCAATAAATTACAAGTAAAGCCTTCATGAAAAACTATTGACTGGATAAACGAGCTCAGCTTTCCCCTTATTATGATGTTTATATATTTCACTGCAAAATGAAATCTCTAAGACCAGACATATGGCACCCAGATGAAGTCTGGTTGTCTGAATCTGGGGCTAGAGGTGGTTTTAGATATTTCACACATGCAGTGCGTGTCGCCCAGCTGGGAGTATGTGCCTGGGATGGGGAGGACCCCAAGCCCAAGCTTGATTCCTTTTGCTTCTCCTGTAATTGTAGAAGTTGCCATTCCTTTTCTGTAGAGTCAGGAGGTGAGGATGCCAGGGCACACACGCAGCCTGGAGTGTAAAGGAAAGCATGTGGTGGAGGGACAGGAGATCTGTTTCTGGTCCCAGTGTCATCACTAACTCATAGATGGGTCACTTACCTCCTCTAGACCTTCTGCCAAAGTGGGCCTTAGAATGGATCACCTGGTTTCAACCTCAATGTCTTTTATGGGCCAGTTGGAGGGAGGTGGAGGTGCTGGTGGGAGAAGGGGGAAGAAATGTCTCAAGGAGTGGGTTCCTGGCCACCTCTTACTTCTATTTCAACCAGAGCCAGTTCTCTTTGATTTGGTTTATATCTTGGGTTTCCACGTAAACCTGAGCAAAACAGCAATAATAACAACCACCAACACCTCCTTTTGGGCCATGTCTATCTAGTACTAGATGATCTAAGTGGCCCCCTCCAGGCCGACATGGGAGGATTCCTTGTTCCTTCTTGGAGCTGAGCCAGTGATCCTCAGAAGGGGCTCCCTCAGACCAGTCATGGAGGAATCAAGTGTTCGGTGCTAATTTGGCATGTACTCTCTCTAATAAGTGCTCCTTCCTTCCTCCCTTCCTCTTTTCTTTCCTTCCTTCCTCCCTCCCTCCCTCCCTCCCTCCCTCCCTCCCTCCCTCCCTCCCTCCCTTCCTTCCTTCTTTCTTTCCTTCCTTCCTTCCCTCCCTTTCCGTCTTTCTTCCTGAATACTTCCTGCTGTTTCGCCTGCATGCTATAGGCCTTCCAGCGGCAATAAATCCACTTTACACTTTGAGCTGTTTCAAAGTGAATTTGGAAGGTGAATGTGCCTAGCCTTCTGTCTAGACACAACTTCAGTGTGCAGAAGGGGGTTGGGCCTGCTTAGGATTCTCACACGAGCCCACCAAGGCCCATCTGTGGCTTCATAAATCTACGGGGAGCCAGATTCGACTGTCCACGGGAGGGTTTTCAAACCTCCAAGGCTGCCAGCTGTTCAGAACGGCCTTCTGCCAAACATGTGAAGTCCTGAATCAGCAAAAATTGGGTGCCTTTAGAAGAGACTGGGAGAAATGTAAATCTAAAAGCACAGCACCAGCCCAGCACAAAACAAATGTTGAACAAAAGGTTAATTCCAGGGATAAACAGCTCTAGGTGGCCGCTTGGCTGAGAGTCTGGTTCCCATTTCGTTATGCCATCCTGCCAGATGTGCCCCTTTATTGATACATCCTGCTGAAGCTGAGATGAAACGCAAACTAGAAAGCTGCAAGGATTGCTGGCAACACGACGCGGCAACGTGCAGGGGCAGAGAAATCTCTGAACGTGGTCTACGTGGGGCTGCACGTTCCCAGAGAGAGCCGCCAGGACAGGGACCCCGTGTACGCCGTTTATGCCTCATGAGATTTTTTTTTTTAATGGAAGAAGAGGGAGGGTCACCTGATTCTGCACCCTTTATGTGTATTGGTGTCACAAAAGAGATGGACGTGAAGCTCATTCTCTGCTTTTCCTCGGTCTGGGAACTCCAGGCTCCATCTCTCCTGTGTCTTCCTTTGTATGAAGTGCTTTCCCAGTTCCTTCAATCATTCACCCTGAGAAATGCATCCAGAACCTCCCATGAGCCAAGTATTGGCTGTGTCCTATTTTAGTTAGTGACATCACCCTTTGTGTTGCTTTAGGACAGGGGAGGGGAACCTTTTTTTCTGCCAAGGGCCATTTGGATATGTAAAACATCATTCTGGGGCCATACAAAACTATCAACTTAAAAATTAGCCTGCTCTATTTGGTCAAACGTTTAATCAACTCACCCCTAATGCCTCGGCAGGGCCAGACCAAGTGATTTAGCGGGCCTCACATGGCCCTTGGGCCAGAGGTTCCCCACCCCTGCTTTGGGGCAAGGACCATGCTTATTTATATTTGTATATTACGATAGTTATTAAATATATGTTCATGGAGGGAGTCACAGCGAGAACTCCCTATGTCAGTTTCCTTCCCCTCTGTCCCAGGACGCCCGCTCTTGTCTGATCCCATCCGAACGCTGGAAGGTGAAGTGGTGGCCCGGCCGCTTCCCACTTGCAGGCAGAGAGAACAAAGGCCGCCTGCGCGGAGGTGTTCTCCATCATGTGGAAAACTGTGTCCAATCTCATTGTGGGAAGCAGCAGGTAGCTGTGAAAGGCGGCTCAGGCCCCCATTGTGATGGCCGTGGCTGCAGGTGAAAGGTCACTTCTCAGGCAAGACTCTGACCCTTAACTTTTTTGTTGGGAGTGTCACAAGGTAAATTAATCAGATTTATAGCATTAAGCTCTGCCAATTTCTTTATCCTCTCGGCTCTTTTTCTCCAGCAAAACTCTCTCTCCTAGGGGGGAAAAAACTCCTTTTTGATGAAAGGGGAAAGTGCTTTTTGTTTCTCTCTCACAGTTTTCACTAAAAGTGAAAATAGTTGGACACATATAGATAAAGCCCAGAGGCCAGGGCAGCCCCTTCTTCCTGCAAGAGCTGAACGAGGGTTCTTGCACGATGACGTGAACTTTCCCGGCTCTTAATCAGATGTCCCCTGGCGTGGGGACAATGAGGAGGGCAGGATTTGCTGGTGGTGAGAGGCGTCTTGATTTCTGGGCAGAGCCCTCTCCTTTGACCAGAGCAACTCAGCAAAGTCCATTAGGGTTACATCACCATGAGCTTATGTCTCATTTGGACCCGGCCCAGGGCAGTACTGGTACCAGAGCAGTATTTCGGCGTGGCAGGTAGTTTGGAAGTGTACGGGCAGAGAACCCTCAGTCCCAAAGCCAGAGGCTTGAAGCTGCCTCCCAGCGGGAGTGGGAGGGAGGCTGCTGCTGCTGCAGGTGCTTTTCAGGCAGCCTTGCAGGAGAGCACCAATTTCCTGCTGCTAGAAATTTGTCTGCAAATTTTTTCTCATTCAGAAGTGACGGGATCCAGGAGACACTGGCTAGATATGATAACTTGATTAAGGCTTGCACCGGCGACCCAGATGCCTGGGAATTGGCTGGAAGAGAGCATGCTGCCTCCCTAACCTTTTGCCAGGAGAGAACTGACAGGTTGCAGCTGGTAGATTTCTACACCCTTAGCTGGAAGGGGCCAATGTTTCAGACTCAGAGCCCTCTGAATACTGCAGTTCTGTTTTCGATACAGCTCCTTTGCAGATAAAGAAAAGTCAGCTAACAAAGCATCCTGTCACCACATTTATGTGCAGCATAAAATAAGAATTGGATTATATTGACTCAACCAGTATTTAGTGAGCATCTACTATGTGCTAAGCCCTATTTTAGACAATGGAGGGATAGTAGTGAATGCTTTCATGGAGCTTATCATCTAATTGGGGAAAACTGACAGTAAATACTTACGTAAATTCCCCATATGTCGGGGGGTTAAAATGCCATAAAGAACAACCAAGCAGGGTCAGAAGATAAAGAATGATGATGGGGGTGGGGTGATACTTTGGAAACATAGAGTGGATAGGAACATCCTCTTTGGGAAGATGACATAGGTTAGAGGCCTAAATGAAGGGAGAACATAAGCCACATTGATAATTACTGCAGAGCCCCCTGAAAGAGGGTTTAGCAAGTGCTAGTCCTGAGGTGGGAGTATGCTTGATATGTTCAAGGAATATTCTTTTACAATGAAGTCTCACTTATAAATGGAAAAACCAACCCATTTGACAATTATAATAGTGGTAGGACTTTTGTGACACTGTTGTTATGAGGATTAAATAAAATAATGCTTATAACTCATAGCACAGTGTCCTTGAATAGTAAGAATTTAATAAAAGTTAATTGCTTTTATAGTTATTGTCTATTAAGCATTTGATAGTCACAATAATCCTATAAGGTTGGTGGGTAAGAGCTATTAGCACCATCTTATAAATGAAGACTCTGAAGTCCACAGAAGGGAAGTGATTTGCCCAGGGTCACACTCCAAGTTAGTGGCAAGTGGAAACAGCCTGAGTCATAAGGGCTGATGCAAAGTCACCCAGGAGAGCCGTTGGTCAGACTTTGCCTGAGCAGGAAATAAACTTTTATTTCATTAAACCACTGAGATTTGGGGGCTACGTGTTCCAGCAGCTAGCTTACTTAACCTGACTAATACAAGGGGCTGTGAGAGGGTAGAGACCAGGACTGAGCCCCTCAAATAGCAGAGTTCATGGCTTTTGGAGGAGAAAGTATGTCACCCACAGAGAAGGTAGTAGAACAGACTATGAAGCCTTGTCTCTTGGGGCTCATTTAGACAAGGTCCTCACAGGTTATTTTGATATTTCATCGGTGGACATGGCTTTTTAAAAACTGCATCTATTTCTTAGCACACTGCTAAATCTTAGTGTTTAGAAAACAGTGGGTTATATTTGGCAGTGGGTGGGGAGAGAGAGTAGCCAGAGCTAGAGGAAAGATGAAGAGTAGAATAAATAAATACAAATTGCCATATAGGGTGTCTGCTTCCCTAAAAAACCCATGTATCTTGCAAAGCCCTGTTTGAATGCCACTTCCTCCAGGAAGTCTTGTCCAGCATGTGTTGCCCTGCACTTCCACAAAAGATCCCTGTTGACTAGTAGTCATTTGGCCTCTGTTCTGCTTATACATGTATGTACATACATAGCTCCTGCATGAGACTACATGCTTCCCAAGGTCAGGCCTGTGACCTCATAGCTCTCAAAACAGTTCAGGGGCAGGATTCCATTTGAAGAGAGATGCAGTAAAGTATTTAAAAAATTTAAAAGGTGATTTTAAATGCTTGGGCAAGTATTCTGAGAACATTTTCTTTGTCACATGTTAATATCACTGCTCACAAACATGCAACCTCACATGCATACATCTCGCAGTGGGCTCCTCATTTCCATGGGCAGAAGGAGTGTGATGGTGTATTTTGCTGTTGCCTTTATGTTGATATTCAAACTTCTCTTCCCCCCTCACCCGCATCAATTATTGAATGCCTTTTAAAAGAAAAAACTAACCCAGCAGATGTGTGTGAGCTGTTTGATCTCGAGACTGAATAGGAACGAAAGTATCTGAGACTCAGATTATGGTGCAGAGAGGAAAAAAAAAAATCTGAACAGGAGCTCTGTGAAGGAGAGAGTTTAGCTTTGATCTTCTATTGAATTTTGCTAGTGGGGTGTGTGTTTATATCTATTTCTATTTGAATTTTTAGCTCTAAAATTCTGTGCTGCCGTGTCTGTCTTTTGTAACACCACAGAAGAGTTTCGTCTGGTTCTGTGCCATGTGATTGAAGTCATTTAAGGTAAGAATCTAATTTCTCTGGGAAATGAGGAGAGGACTGTAGCTTAATTTATGGATACCTTTTCCTTTAAGGGAGTCTAAAATAATTGGGCCACTTTCTCTCAAACCAAATGGAAAAGAGGCCCATTAAAAAACAGAGAGGCTGTGCTTCCCGACGAGGAGGCCTGACTTTATCGCTTAATTCCCAATTTGCACATCTTCTGCACTAAAGAAAACTCAGACCTTGGAAAGTAGTGTGACCTTTGTCATCTAGGAGGAAATAAAAGTACACTTGTTTATAGTTAAATCTTATTTCAAAATTCCCCATGAATGGGGCCTCTTCTTAAAAAAAAAAAAAAAAATCAGTCATCTTAAAAGTTAAGATAACTTGAGAAATTTTAAAAGGCACCTGCCCTGGTTTGCTAATAATATCATATAATGATACTGGTGTGATATACAAAAGGTTTTTAGTTGTCCTTGCACTTTGTGGATTTTTAATGCTTTTCTCGGTGTAATGAGTTCATTTATATTCTCACTATTGACTTTTTCTCTTGGTTTGAGGACTGCTAAAATGCTTATTATAACTTTCCATTCCTGGCATGCATTCTTCAGTTAATATATTCATTCATTCAACCAATATTTATTGAGCCTACTAAGTGCCAGACACTTTGCTTGTACACTTCTAATCTGTGGTGGGTATTCAAAAAACAGATGTTTATCTGCACCTCAAGGCATAAGCCTGCAAGAGTTCCTAAATTAGGCACGAAGAATCCTCCTACGCAGCTATTCTTAGAATTTGTTTTATTTAGCATTTTCCAAGTTTTTATTCAACGCCAGCCAAATATAAAACCCAATGCTAAGCCCTGGCATGAGCAGGGAGATGGGTCATGCATGACTGTTTTCTACATGGCTTGCGGGTGGGACTGGGGAGAGACACGCAGAAGGACCACTAAGGGAGAGAATAGGTATGGGTGGATGGAGTAGGGGGAGCACTCAGAGAAGGGAGATCCCTTTAGCATGGGCTGAAACTTGTCAGCTTCCAAATAATCAAATTGGAATGTCAGTGCTCTGGTGTGGAAGGAGATGTGATTCAAATGCTGTCCAAGGGGTGTGATCGTTGTTCGGGAATCCTTCCCTGCTGGGCCAGGAGGGGAGGTCACACTCTGGAGAACACCTGTTGCCTAGAATTTAGGCTGCGCTTCTTTGGGTTGTGGATCACAACATTCTAGAAGATTCCAGAGAGGCTACCTCACTTCTCTGCTAAATGAAGGCCCTATTAGAGGCAAAAATATGATTGATATATCCTACTCCACCCCCCAAAAAAACTTGCTACAGGCTTACATCTTTTGTTGTTCTCTGTCGTACCTTTCCTCCTCCATCCCCTGGAATGATTTCAAAACTTCAAGTGTTGGTTCCCACTGACTTTGTGACAGGGTAGGGTGATCCAGGGAATAAATTATCGCAGTAGGTGCAGTTATATTGGTTGGCTCTCATAGGCCCATCCTCCCTTTCCTTCACTGGGGTCCACGTGTAATAAATACTAAGCCCTTGGCTCTGCCTTATTTAGAATTGAAAACTGTTCACAATTTTTCTTAGAGAAATTTTAGACTTTTGTGGTGTTTTATGCCATGGTTGGTCAAGTGTATTTTAAGTATGTAATTTCTGATGGGCTCCCTTTGGACTTGGCCAGCTGAAAATAAATTAGAATTCAAAATAGCTGTATATGTTTCATATTTCTAATCATATATATCTCTGTGACAGTTTAGGCATTAAACAACTATATCCAGAATACCTACTATGTACATCAAGTACCTACTGTGTAAAAAGTAAACAAATACCACAGAAAGATGCAAGTTTTCCCCCTATATTTATTTGTGCAATAATGTATATGCATTCAGTACTCTAAAAGCTTTATTTCTGATGGCATTGTATAGAAAGTTTTGCTAGTAAGTTGAATAGTAAAAAAGACTTTGCTAACATAATATGTAGCATAGATTTGGCAGTTAAACATGTCTGACTCAAATTCTGGCTTTGCCACATATTATCTGTGGGACCATGAGCAAGTCACCTAAACTCCTTATAAAACAGAGATTTTGGGGCTGTTTTGTGGATAAAATGAGATATAACATTAAGTGATTACTATTATGCCTTTCACATAGTAGTTGCTCATGAAATGCTAGTGATTTTTCCACTTTTTTGCATATTTTTCTAGTGTCTTTAATTTGGTTTCAAAAGCTGTGATCACTTTTTATCTTATGATAGGAGTTTATATTTTCAACATTTCTCTTCAAAAATGTCAAGATCTGTAAAGCCTTACACACTGGCAGTGTGGGGGTTTGTCTCTACAACATGCTGGTAAGGTTGCCTCTTTCGGATTCTTGCTGTCACATGGCACACACCTGTAGGCCCCAAAGTAACTGAAAGGCTTCCTTTGGTGGCCCCTGGCTACCCCAGCCCAGCACCACCCCATGTCATCCTGAGGGAGTGATGGCCTTTCTTATGCGGTGCTCACATTACAGGTGTGTGTTGGAGAGGCCTGCACTCCCAGCAGAGTCTGTATTCTCTGTGGCTGTCTCTCACAGACACCTCTCTGAACCTCTGCCTCCCTCCCTCCCTCTCAGGAGCATGTGGTGCTTCTGCCCCTGCCAGCTTCTCAGAGCTGGTCTTCTTGAAGTCATTACCAAAGGTCATTCTCTTTGGCTTTCACAACTACACCTCATCATACTGTTGTATCCACTCTGTTTTTCCTAGCTTTTGAACTCACCCAGCCTCTCTAAGAAAACTTTCACATTTCCTTTCATCTCTCTTAAGGTTTACACATCTGGATTGCTCCTACTGATGTCCAGTCAAACCCAGCCAGCCTGGGGAGGCAGGGCCCATCCCCTGTCTTGCCTGTTGGCTCCATCCATTCATGTCTGGGAGTTGCACCTGATTTTGCTTTGAGGAACCATCCAGCACCCACTGTGTGTAGTCTTGGGGGGGCTCTGGGACCATTGGTCAAGTGGTCCCGCTTTCCCTTGGCCAAGGCTTGGCATGTGATTATAACTTGACCAATCAGATTCTCTCTTGGGAATTTGTATTTTGGATGGAAAACCACTGGAGTCACCTAATCCCTGCAGCAGCTTCCTATTCAGACTGTCCATTGGTTTCTGCTACCAGGGGTCTGCCTGGGTTCCCAGCCATTCTGACACTGATTCTTCTGATTCTATAAGTGGTCCTGTATCCTCTACTAGATCTCTCTTGTGTTTAAAATAGTAAGATTTCACTTCTCTTGTTTGCAACCAGGAATTCTAATTGATATAGTAGGTCAGTCCAAATATCTAAAGCTCAATTTATATTATGATTATTCTTAGCTGATCCACAGTGGAATTCTAAAAATCTTCTAAGTTTTGAAACAAAGGATTTGGCAACTGCATTTTAGAGTGAACTTCCTGGTCCCTTGAATAGAAAGGCTTTTTCTTAATCACACGGCTAAAGGTAACTACAGATACTACAAGAAAGCTCGAGAAAGGCTGGTGTATCTAACCTTGTCTTTAAATCAGTGCTTCTCAAACTTAGTGTGCAGGAGATCACCTGGAGAGCTTGTTGTTCATCATTTCTTTTTTTAAAAAATTCTCACCGAGGATATTTTTTTTCCATTGATTTTTTTTTTTAGACAGAATGAAAGGGAGGGAGGCGGGAGACAGAGAGAGAGAAACATCTATGCAAGATAGACACATGAATTGGTTGTGGGTTTCATGTCCTCGACAAGGAATCTAACCTGCAACCTTTTGGTCCAAGGGCTGAAGCTCTAACCACTGGGAAAAACCAGCCAGGGCCCAAACATCAAGGTTCTTGAGAACTACACTCAGAGCTTTTGACTTAGTGGGTCTGGAGTGGGACCGGAAATCAGACTTTTGAACAAGCTCCCGCTGACACTGCTGCTGCTGCTCTAAGGATCATCATTGGAATAGCAAGTCCTTAAATATGATCTTTTCCCCAAGTAAGAGAGACTTTGGAACACGGAAAGATTCCCTCTGGCTTTTGAAAATTAAAAGACGGAGACAAGATGAAAACTGCCCTCCCATTGAACTTTAGAGATGCCTGCTGCTCCCTGACCTCAGTAACAAACTGTGTCCCACTGAGCCCTGAGCAGGAGGAGACAATGGCTGGGCTGGAGGGTGTGTTCAAGAGCAGGGTGTCTTCACCAGCCAGCCTGGCACCCCCCAGAGCCTCACAGGCTGCTGGGCAGAAGGTCCAAAGCTACTTCAGTGGAAAGTTAAAAACAACACACCAATAAGTAATTGCATAAGATCCAGAGGAAATGCATGACGGCCTCCTGGGACTACTCAGCAGTGACCACAGCTAGAGCCGGGACCTGGAGCCGAGCCCGCTCCTTACTGTGTCCTCACAGGCCCCCATCCCCACCTCAAACACCCTCCTCACTTTGCTTTTCCAAACCATTTTCTTACCGTCCCCTGAAACCAGCTCTGAGCTTACCTCTCCCCAGGTCCCCTTCCCTGCCATCTTCATTCTGCACTATTCCAACATCCGCATACTCAGCTCTAAAATGTTAAAAGTCCTGCTCTGATACTAATAACAGCCACTACTTCTCTGCTCCTTACTGCATTCCGGGAGCTTTGTTTATCTATCTCATTTAATTCTCCCAACAACCTTATAAGGTCAGTGTTATTACCCTTGTTTATAGATGAGAAACAAAGTCAGAAGAGTAGTTTGCTTAAGATAAACTTAGAAAAAATTAGAGGCAGAAATTAAACCCTATTCTGTCTGACCCAAAACCTATATCCCAAACCACCCTGCCATGCTAAACCAATACATGCTATATGTATGCATGTGTGTGTGTGTGTGTGTGTGTGTGTGTGTGTCTATGTTCCTGTACATGTCATGGTATTTTGTTTCCCTTTCTAATGGAAAACGCACCTAGGCAGGACGAGGTGCTCTGGGAGAATATCCTAGTGGTTCTCTTGACCTGGCTCACATTATATGGAGTGCGTAGAGTCAGGTTTCTTTCCAGGGTAATCATTCAAGAGATATTGCTTACTACTGATGTAGTCTCTGATGGCTGACATTTTTGAATGTCAGCAAGAGTAGGCACATTACTGGAAGAGAGAAGCATTTTTTCCTATTTACCAATTAGCTCTGTTTTCCATTCATGTCTATGAAACATATGAAAAGTCTGACATCCAAAAGGAATAAAGAGTTCATTATTTGTCATCATCCATTGAGAGTCTGTTTTGTGCATACCATGAGGCTGGGTCCTAGAAAGAGCCACAGAGGATCCTGATTTGAGAGGCCTTAGACATGGGGTGTGCTGGTACCCTGAGTTGGGGGAGGCAGGGGCCAGGAAGGGAGAGCAGGTAGAGACCAGGCAGAACCTGGGCTGGAGGAAATGTCCTGATGGTGGTACTGGTCCCAGGCTGGACTTCATACTGAACTTAATGGTGTGTGGCAAACACAGGTGCTCACCTCGAAGGGGTATACAGTAGTAAGGGGCTTAAAGTCAGATGAACACCAGCTTTGCTAATACAGGTGCTTGGTGATTTGAGCATAAGAGCCAGGCAGTGGTTGAGAAGGCACAGAAAGCACTCACTTATTCATTCATACAATCACTCATGCATTTAAGAAAAATATATTGAGTATAGAACTTGGCACTGATGATACAATTATAAACAAGACAGATAGGGCCCCTGCCCTCATAGAACTTGTGGTGTTAGATAATAATGGCAAAGGGTGGTTTGATTATAGTTGTGGTCAGTGATATTACAGGATGAAAGAGGATTCATGCTCTGTAAGTGACCAGAGTGTAAGTTCTCCAAGCAAAGGGGCAGGAGTTTAAGACCAGGTAACAAATACAATGGCCTCTGTGCCTGCAGTTCATTTGGATCAAGTGAGAGAACAACCTGTCTAATTGCACAGACAGGCCCTGAGCCCAGGCTGAGAAAGGGTGTTGGACTTAGAACCAGAAGAGCAGGTGTCCAGTCCCAGCCATCCTTGTTCCCACAGCAAATTGCCTGAATTTTAAGACGTGTAAACTCCCCAGGCCTCAGTTTTCTCATTTGTAAATGGGAAAAACATTTATGGCTCCGCTTGCTTTATGGGAGTCATGAGTGAGAATGTGAAAGGCTTTTGCAAACTATGCAAAGCAGACACACACACACACACACCCTGAGCTTAATGAGCCCAGGATGCTTAGGGCCAAGGGCAGACTTCAGTGCTAATGAAGCATTGAGAGGGTTGGGTCTGGAGAGATTCCCATGAGCAGTCTTTAGAGAGATGAACGTGGCACAGGGAAGAAGGAAGTGGCCTGGCGTGGGCATTCCACAGGGGTGGCATGTGTGAAGGCAGGTCATCAGGAGGGAGGGACCACAAGGGGGGGGCCCGAGGTGTGTTTGGTAAGAGTCAAGAGTCTCAGTAAGGGTCAATCAGAGACAGAGGAGTGGTATGCGATGGAAGGAACAATCTGTGAGAAACCTTGACTGTTTTATGGTCTCGGTTCAGTCAAACATCACTAAAACATTTAGGTGACTCATGAATTTCAGTTGTTTATCAAAGAATTTTAATTCTAGCACAAAGAAGGGGCCTGGCATTTCTACATATAAAAATGAAAAGAGACAGGGTTAGGAATATGGCCCACTCTTTGAAGAAAAATAAAGTTAGAATCCCTACTTTATACTCAGTAAAAGGTGAATTTTAGATGGGTTAAAGGCCTACATGAAAAAGGTAAAATGACAAAGCTCTAAAAGGAGCTATAGCAGAAAAGATAAGAGAATACACTGAGTGGCCAGACTATTATGACCACCCATCAGTACTTCGTTGGGCCACCTTTTGCCTTCAATACTGCGGCGATTCTTCTTGGCATTGACTCCACGAGATCTTGAAAGATGATGCGAGGAATCTGACACCATGCCTGATGAATAGCACTGTCCAGTTCTGTGAGATTTGATGGTTGTGGAACCAGCTGCCTGATGGCTCTTTTAACTTCGTCCCACAAATGCTCAACTGGATTGAGATCTGGTGATTGTGGGGGCCACCTAAGCAAGGTAAAGTCTCCCTCATGTTCTTGAAACCACTCCTGCACAATACGAGCACCATGGCATGGCGCATTGTCTTGTTGGAAGAAGCCATCTCCATTGGGATATGCCATCAACATGATAGGATGAACTTGATCAGCAACGATGCTTAGGTATGTTGTGCTATTCAGATGTTTACAATGATCTGGCCCTCTAGCAACTTCAGCGCGAAATTATAGTTAACTTGCCTACAAACGTCAGGTGGTCATAATAATCTGGCCACTCAGTATATATTAGTGGCCTTGGTGTGGAGAAGGAATCTTAAAGAAGAACCTGAAAGCATAAAATGATTTGACTTTGAGTGGTGGGCACACAATGCAATATACCGATCACGTAGCATAGAAATGTACACTTAAAACCTACATAACCTTATTAACCAATGTCACCCCAATAAACTTAATTTTGTAAAAAGCACAAACCTTAGGGCAAAATAATGATGGATTTGGCAATAACAATATTAAATTTTTGTGTTCAACAAATTATACATTAGATAAAGATTAAAGAAGGACATCAGATGAAGAGAAGATATTTGCAATGCCTTAAGCGAATGGGAGTAAAAGAACACACAAGGAACTCCTGAGGACCAACAAGAGAAAGACAAGAAGTCCAATGAACAATAGTCAAAGGCTATGTGTAGGCAAGTTACATGGGAAAGTTTAAGTACACAGAGGACACCCAACCTTACTAGTAATCAAAAATATGCAAAATGAAATTACCAAACTGTATCTGTACTCACTAAATTTGCAAAACTTAGATGATCAGATCCTAAATACTGATGAAGACATGAGGAAATAGGCACCCACAAGCATTGCAAGGGTAGCCCTTCCAGAGAGCAACCCGATGTGCAGCATGCACCTAACTGATGAAATCATGTGATGTCTGACCAGCCCTCCCCCCAGCGGGAAATGCCACAGAAACGCTCACGTGTCAGGTTGTGCTGTTGCAGCAGCAGGGAGTCGGTGACGACCTCAGACACTGTCTCTAGAGGAATGGATAAGTAAAATAGGACGGATGCACACTGTGGAATCTTATACAATAATCAGAATCAGAGAGCTGGAACTAAAACACCAACATGATTAGATTAAGCAAAAATGGTTTTGACATCCAACCTGCATGTCCCATTGACAGAACCTGCCAAGAAGCCTACAATAACATTTATATAAATTAAACCACAACAGAAAAAAGTATATTTTACAATTATTCATATCCAAAGACATATAACAAACATGATCGATGAGGTATCTATGTAGCAGCAAGAAATGGGGATAATGTATCAATCAGTGTCCAATCAGGAAAACAGAAACCACTCTAAATATTTTAAACAGAGAGGGTTTACTACAGGGAATTGATTACAGGGGGATTGAAAAGCTGAGAGATGAGAAAGAGGACACTGAGAACACTGAAGTATTGTAACTACAGAGAAAAATTACCACATTTAAACCTGGTGAACAGAAGGGAAGGGCTAGTGTGCTGAGACCTATGGGTTCAAAGGAAGGAACCCCATGGTTGGTGTGCAGGCATGATGCTCAGAGCTCTGGGGCAGGGACATAACAGGTGCTGATGGCTGGTGCTGGGAGAGCTGAAGGAAGTGGGTGGGGGCCTGGAGCCATGGCCCTCCTTTGCTGCTGGGAGGATGCTGACAGGAAGTGAGAAAAAAGAGTACCTCCATTCATCCTGCCTTCCTACCTCCAACCTGCATGTCCTATTGACAGAACCTGCCAAGAAGCCTACTGACCAAGAAGTCTGGGAAATGAATGTAAGCCCCAGTATTACAGGGGAAAATGTAGAATTATGAGCTTGGGTTCAGAGATAATTATAAATAGACCATGCTATAAAAATAATAAAACAGCAGCTTTGTCTTGGACTGCTGTGAATTAAGGAATATGATAAACTCAAATTTATAACTAAGTCCAAAAAAAAGAAAAAAGTAAGGGCTCAGGACAAAGAGTCATGTGACATAGGGGAAGTTTGTGGTCCGACTCACTATGTCACCTTGGCCAAATCACTTAAACACAGGAGTCTCAGATTATCCACCTGTGCTAAACCATAGAGCCACCTGTAAGAGATAAAGCTATAAAACTTTTAGAAGTAAGCCACAGAAGAAAATCGTAGTGATCTTGGACTTGGCAAAGATTTTTAAAATCTGATATGAAAAGGATGAACTGTAACAATTAAACACACCCACACACACAAAGAAACAATAAATTGGACCTCACCAAAATAAAAAGATTTACTGTTCCAAAAAACACTATTACAAAATTGAAAATGCAAGCTTATCTAGACATAAGTCAGATAAAGGACTTTATGTCTTGAATATATAAAAGAAAATTCTACAATTCAATGATAAAAAGACAAAAGAATCCAATTTAAAAATGGGCAAAAGACTTGAATAGACCTTTTACCAAAAAAGATATATGGATGGCAAGTAAGAACATGAAAAAAACGATCAACATCACTAGTTATTAGTAAAATGCAAAATTAAACCATAGTGAAATACTTTTAGTTTCCCACTAGAATGGCTAAAATTAAAGATTAGTTAAATCGAGTGTTGGCAAAGATGTGGAGCAATTAATTAAAACTCTCAAATACTGCTGGTGGGAATGCAAAATAGTAGGGCTACTTTAGAAAACAATTTCACAGTTTATTTTTAAAAGTGAATACATACCTTTCATGTGATCTAGTCATTCCCATCCTAGGTATATACTAAGCGAAATGAAAATATATATTTAGAAAAACACTTGTGCAAGAATGTTCATAGCAGCTTTATTTGTAGCAGCCAAGAACTGGAAACAACTCAAATGTCCACCAACAAAATGATTGAATAAAAAATTGTTGTACAGCAATACAATGCAATACTATCCTATCTAATAAAAGAGAAACATGGTAATTAGCTGTACATCAGCTACCCTTCCCATTGGCTAATCAGGACAATATGCAAATTAACTGCCAGCCAAGATGGCGGCTGGCAGCTAGGCTACTGACACGAACATGAGGCTTGCTTGCTTCAGTGACGGAGGACTCCAACGTTCCCCGCCTGCCGCTGCTGGGCTCTGAGCTGCTAAGAAACATCTAAGGCTCACTTAGGCTTCATCCATTTGGAGGAGTGAGTCTCAGCCCCGGATGCACTTCGGGAGCTTTGAAAAATACAGATGCCTCAGATGCCTGAGCCCACCCTTGGAACTCTGGCTGAGTTGGTGTGGTCATATGGCCTGGTCTCTGCATTTATTGAGTCCCTTCCAGCAGCGCCCACTCCCGGGTTATGCGCAGGCAGAGCTGAGAACCACTGATAGCGAATTCTGTTCTGAAAAAATCAGTAAGGTATTTTATGGGCATTACAGATGAGTCACTGAGAGACTGTCAGGAGGTGCTGAGCAGGTGCCTGTGGGTTTGTCCAGGGAAGGGTCCTGGAGGAGCAGATGGATCTGGAAGTGTAACTATCCCCATTCCATAAGAGGCAAGAAATGAGCAAGCCACACTTAGAAAACTTGATTTGGTGTAGGGAGAAAAAACAAGGTTGGGATTAAGTAATAAGACGAGAGACAGACGGACCTTGAATTCCAACACAAAAAGTGTGATTCTTCTTATTTCTAGGAGCCAAATCTTATAAAAGGAGAATATTCCCTCTGCAGAGAACTTCTTGGATTTCAATCTCAGGCAATTCAGTGGAGAGAAAAGTAATACAAGATTCTCTAATCAGGAATCTACCTATCCCCATGTAAATTTCTGTCAAAAATAAAATATTGGACTTGTGTAACATTAGACTCTTTGGCGTTGTCATTCTAAATCTCTTATGTAACAAAGTGGGGGAATCAATGAATTGGCCAATCTGGTTTTCTTTCCCTAAAAAATATTTTCTCCATATCATTTCATGAAATTGGTAGGAAAATGGCTATCATGTGATATAGATCACAGGAACTATCAAAACAAAATTTAAAAAAGGAAGAAATGATAAAAATGTCCCGGAGAGAGCATGAGTCTGTTTCATGGAGATGGTTGTGTGATGCTAAGGTGTGATCGGGCTCTGAAAGTCCCAGTGCATGGCGTGTGTTACTGTCTGCACGTCACGCCTCTGGCAACCGCACTTGTTCACAGAGTTGAGAACAGAGAAGAAGAAGAACATCGATAACTCCAGCTAAGCTATGCTGAGTGCTTGCCATGTTCCAGGCACTTTTCTATGAACTTTGCAGGCATCAAGATTTTTAATCTTCACAAGAGCTCTACGAGATAGACCTTATTTTCATCATCCCCATTCTAAGGACCAGGAAGCTGAGAGGAGGAGAAGTTCAAATATTCACCTGAGATCACACAACCAATAAACGGCTGCTCTGGATCCAGGTTAGTCTGGTTCAGGGCCCCAGTTCTTCACATTCCACCCTTATCCCGGAAGAAGGGCAAGAAGGCAGAAACAATCAGTAAGTGTTTATTAAGTGCCAGCTACTTCACACATGATTATTTCATTTAACCCCCACAACACACCCTTAGCCCCCTGGTCTAGCCAAGGAAACGAGGAAACACACACTCAGCATTTAATGACTTGCCCATAAGAGGTAGAGCTAAGATCCCACCTTAATTTGCCTCACCGTAACCCTGTGCTTTTTTCACTAAGCCATGAAATTTCAGAGTAGTGTCCATGCATGAAAGCACACTTAAGAGAGAGTCTCTTGCTTAGAGCTTCATCTTTAACTTTGTATGATTTTAACAAGCTTGATTACCTGGTTTCCTTGTTAAAACCAGGAAGTATGTGAGGGGAAGGGGTAGGCACATGGATTGCAAGGAAAATTAGGTTAATAGAGAAATAACATGTCCAAGAGAAGAAAATCATTAAATAAGCAGTCTTTTAACTATTCATCTGTGATTTCTTTGAACAGAAGTTTTGCATTAAAAGCTTTATGCTTTATTTAAAGGAGTCAAAGGGAAGAGACTGGGTGAGTTGGTCAGCTAAATTTTGTAAACTTTCAAAAGCTAGTATACAGGTAATAGTTAAATTTAGAACACAAATCAAGCCCGACCAAGGATTCCGTTTTGAAAACAGTTTCATTTGTCTCTAAAGAATACTTTGCCATTTACTCTCAATAATATAACGTCCATGAAATGCTGATTCCAAGACCATTAAACGCACGTCAGAAGGTGTGCTGAGCTCAGACACCAGCTGCAGATGCAGGGCGGGTCCTGTGCCCGGGCATGTCCTCCTTCCCGCCTGCCCATGAGCTCTTCTTCAGGCCCCCGGGCAAGCAGTCAGCCCTATTTCCTCTGTCCCCACCCGCCACCCCGCAGTTCTCACACTTCAGAGCGCCTCAGAGTGAGGAGGGCTTGTTGAAACACAGATTGCTGGGCTTTACCTCTGGAATTTCTGATTCAAGACTCTGGGCTGGGCCCCAGAATTTGTATTTTCGACAAGTTCCCAGCTGATGCTGATGCTACAGCTTCCATGACTACACCTCGAGGACCACAGCTCCAGGGAAAATAGACTTCTCCTCTGTGCTGCCTGGTCTGTTCAGTTGTTTTATTTTGATTTCCACCAAGCAGATCATTTCTGTGTCTTCTCAGGAGTCTGTGAGCTCCTTGAAGGAAGGCGCTGATTCTGCAGGCCTGGGCGAAGGGCGATAATAGCAGGGAGCTGAAGGGCTCCTGGGAGAGCAAGCCTGCTAAGCAGAGAGGACCCAGGGCTGAAAAGTCTGTCAGTAACACAGCTTCAGTCTCTGAGAACTCCATCCCAAACCCCAGAATGTGCGGACTCCCAGGCCTGTAGAAAGTCAGAAGTTGTAATTAAACACAAAAAGCTAGTTAAAAAGGGAGGAAAGGGACAGAAAGAACACTCTCTGGGCCCCCATAACAGTGCATGATACAGGGAGGGGGGTGTTTTCTCCACCCCCCACAAACCTCCCTCTCGGTGCCCCAAGGACTGCAGGCCGTCACAGGCAACATCTGAGTGAGATGACAGTGCCCAGCAGAGTGGATATCGTCCAGGGCTGTGCTGCCCAACACGGTAGCTACTGGCCACGTGTAAATTAATTAGAATCACAGAAAAATGAAAATTCAGTTCATCAGTCATGCTAGTCACATTTCAAGTGCTCAATAGTCACAGGTGCTACTTCTCCAGCACAGATATAGGTGGAACATGTCTGTTACTGAAGAAAGTGCTATTGGCTAGCACTACAGTCGGGACTTGGGTAAGATGTAGCAGGAGTAATATGGCACTGGGGCAGGGCAATGTAATGTGTTTGTGTCCCTTGCCCTACATGCTACTACTGCTTAAGAATCTGTAAAGATTTGCAGTAACCCCCACCACCAGTGCCTGAGAACAGTACTCCACTTCACCCCCCACTTTCCTACACTCTTGGGGCCAGGACTTCAATGTCTAGTGTGGTGATGGCACCCTGGGACAGAAGGCCACTGGGACTGAGAGTGGCATTGTCCCTGAGCAGGGGTAAAGTCCCTCCCTGGACTCCTAGCAGGGCCCAAGGGCCCTCTCCATGAGACAGACACTGTCGGACATGCTCAGGCTACGTCGGGTCATGCTCTTGCCAGTGGCATCAGTTTTAGCAAGTGCCTTGCCCAGCTTCTTCTGCAGGAGGGACTTTCCCTCCACCTTCTCATAAACTAGGTGAGCTCCTTCAATTGCCATCACTCCTCTATCAAAGCCAGCCTACTCTGCATTGGAAATCAGGAATTTAAAAGGGTAGCTAAGCCCGACCGACATGTCTCAGTGGTTGAGTGTTGACCTATGAACCAGGAGGTCACGGTTCAAATCCCTGTCAGAGCACATGCCCGGATTTCGGGCTTGATCCCCAGTGAGAGATGTGCAGGAGGCAGCTGATCAATGATTCTCTCTCATCACTGATGTTTCTATCTCTCTCTCCCTCTCCCTTTCTCTCTGAAATCAATAAATAATATATTTAAAAATAAAAAAATAAAATAAAAGAATAGCTGATGGAAGAGAGAGTTGGATTATCCAGGCTAATGACAGGATCTTCCAGACCTAGCCTGGTCCCTTCTGTGTATTTTAGTAATGGGGTTTCCCAGCCTTCCCTGGAGACATTGCCATGGCCTAATAAATCTCTTTCCAGAGCTGATTTCCTGATCAAAGGTAGCTTAAATGTTCCTTTATTTAATTCTCCTTTAATTCATCGTAAAATAAGAAAAAAGATTCTAATTGCCTCCAGTCTGGCTAAAGGCTCAGGTAGGTAGAAGGGAAAAGCATCCAGGCTGTCTTTCAGGTGGTACACGGGACTTGAACTTTAGCAGAAAGGCCCTTATCTGTCTCTTTCATTAATCACTGCAATTCCCCTGCCTTCAGTGTGGCAGGGTATCAGTCAATGGCTGGGTGACAAGACTGGGACCCTGCTGTGCATTGAACACACTTAGGAGAGCAGAATGCTCAGCCAGATCACTGAAGAGGGTCCAGTGTGGGGTTTCTCAATGTGCAGTGTGTGTGGCGCTGGGCAACCAGAAGTCTGTTCCTGTGAGGACTGAGGAACCTCCTGGGAGACATTTATTTCAGGAGGATGGGAGTCAGGGCACTGCAAGCTTGATCTCGTGGGTGCAAAGTCTAAGCTGGAAGCTGGAGGAAAGCCCACGTGCATCATGGTATTTGTCACCCAGATTTGTCTCCAACCCAATGAGGAGGATGACATGGCCAGGGCTGCACTAGGTACCCTCTGGGAAAGCTGTTTGACTTTCAGCTGTTAAGCACTGAGCCCAAGCAGCACTTCTCTCGCAGAGAGTGACAAAGCAGGGTGGAGAGTAGAGCTGTTCTCTCCCACTTCCCACAGAACCCACACGGCTCTGGTGCTTGGAAAGCTCCAGGCCAGATGGCACAGAAATGGGGCAGGAAGCAGCAGAGCCATGGGGGACCCAATAAAGATCTCTTGACCAGAGAGCTCAACAACCCCAGGGGATGTTGGGTTTCTACAGAGCAGATGGATGTGAACAAAGAAGCATGGGGTACAGTAACAGGCCAAGAAAATTAGCTCTTCTTCCCTTCCCTTCCAGAAAATTCTGTTCAGGAGCTATTAAGTGAGATGAAGCAAGGTAGGTCTCTGCTCCTGAGTGGGGAGTGCCTATGGTGGCCCAAAGCAGGAGAGTGAAGCCAACTGGGGTGAGGAAGAGTTTCACATGGGGGCATGGGGGTGACCTATTGGGAGGTTGGGGCTCATGGGGAGTGAGGGGGTGTCCACATCGGAAGGTGGCCCTATGTGATGAGTAGGGTATCTTAAACAAGGTGAGAAGAGAGATCCTTGGGGAAGTGTCCTGGAATGGGATTCAGCCCCGAAGTGGAGTGAGAAGTGGGTCTTCATAGGAGAGTTTTAGAATCTGAGTTGGGTGGGAGGGTGGTCCAGGGAAGGATGCTGGTGTCCTCCCAGAGGGCACCCCAGCATGGGTGCCTGCCCTGAGCAGGGTGAGGAAGGAGATCGTGTGCCCTTGAAGGTGGCTGTGGGTCTCACTCTTTTTTGTATCCAGGGCCTAGCAGAGTGTAAGGCGATTAGTAGGTGCCCAAGTACAGTAATGGTGATGGTTAGGTGGATAGTGAAATAAATGAAGAAGACCTGAAGACCTGGGTTCAAGCCTCATCTTTACCACTTATACCTATGTACTGATGTGGCTTCATCTCTGACAAGGGGACCATGTGTATGAAAACAATGAAAAGCCAAAGTGCTGTCCATGTTTGAAGGATCCAAATTGTTCCATCTAACAGGAAGGGGGACCTTGACATTCTCTGATGGGCGGGCCTTCCTTATGCTTCCCATGCTTTGCTCAGTGGACACCTGGGCAGTCAGCTCAGCTGGTCAGGCCTCGGTGCCCCCTGCATAAAGTGAG